CCTCAGAGATGACTAAAGGATCATTAGCTTCTTCCAGAAATTTCAGTTTAACAAACTATTCATCAGCCTGCAAGAAACTGCAAGAATTAATATTTTTTGTAGTTATAAAACAAGCATAGTAGTTAACCACTATAAACTGGAAAGTTTCTAATTGGAACTTCCTGGGAAAAGGAAAGGAAGTAGTGAGAGATACTAAAAATTTCCTTTTTTGAGTCAAGCCACTAGATTAATATTACTAGCAGGTATTTTCTAACATGCCCCAATATGATTCAGATTAAGGAACTTTATAGGACAGGTTTGTCCATATTATTAAGCCCTTATTGGTTGATTCTGAGGAGAGAAAAGCAAGAGTTCTTAGAGAAAGACTTTGTCTCAAAGATGGAAACCTAGAGATGGGAATATAATTAGAGATTTTGAACTGAGATCTTGAAGTGAGATCCCAGGGTCTCTGCACATTCAAAATAATGTTGTATAATCCTTGTAAAAATGTTTATAGAACCATAGATAGAACTAGAAAGATGGAAAAGACGTATGAGTCTATTGAATTGAGATGTCAGACCCTTCTTTTCTTCTTCCAAGGTAAATATGATGACCTTGGCAGAACACATTATTGAGGCAACACCTGACCGGATCAAGAGAGAGAATTTTGTGCCCTTGGAGCCCACAGCAGCGGAGAGGACAGATGCTGCAGCCATTAGCAGCACAATGAGCTGGCTGGCCAGTTACCTTGCTGATGTCGATCATCTACCAAGTGCTGCACAGATCAGGTCAGTGAAACGCCCCAGAGAATTATATATATATTTAAATGGTGGTGGGATGGTTTGTTGGGGCAGCTTCAATCTGCTATCTTGATTCTATGAATTCAGGGGAAAGGGCAAAAATGACATCTTTCAGAGGAGAGGTTTGAAAATGTTAGGGACCCTTCTTCAAGGCTCAGCTCAAGTCCCACCCATTTCCTGAAAGAAGTCCTACCCAAACATTCCATCTCATATAGATCACGTCCCATGAGCACAATATAGTTCAAAGAGAACTAGTCTGTAAGCCCAGAAGTCCTGCCCCTGATACATACTAACTGTGTGACCATGGACAAATCACTTAACTCTATGTGCCCAGGCTATGCTTTGTAGTTACAGACAAATGGCCTAACTATGGTGGTAGAGCAAGTTGCCACATTGGGAATTCCCTGCACCCATGAATCACAAGTTGGGCCCCCACCTCAAGCTCCAATAATACTGTATAATTAATTTTGACACTTGATCTTTTTCATGTGCACAACTTTCCTCTCAACTCAACTGTAAGCTTCTTGAGGGTAAGAGCTATGTTTTATACTTGTGTGTATCCACACCCTACAGAGTCCAGCACATAATCCATGCTCAGTAAATATTTGAGTCGAATTACAAGACAGTTAAAAAACCAGGTATGTACTTAGCCATTAAACTATCCTACTACAGAAAGTTAAGTATATTTTTTAAGTCTGCAACATTTTACACTCTTTATGTTGCCTTGAGAAATAAAATTATTTCCTTCAAATACTATCTTTTCCATTAAAATTTAGTTAACAAGGTCACAGATAACTCTCACAAGTCATTACATTAATCTGCTATTCTGGCTATCTTTTTTTCAGAACTCTATATAATGAGCCCCTGACCCCTTCTTCTAACACCAGCTTGAGCCCTGTAGGCTCACCAAACAGTGAAATGGCATTTGAGAAACCAAGCCTTCCTTCGGCGGCAGACTGGTCTGAATTCCTAAGTGCATCCACCAGTGAAAAGGTAGAAAATGAGTTTGCTCAGTTAACTCTGTCTGATCACGAACAGAGGGAACTCTATGAAGCTGCCAAGCTTGTCCAGACAGCTTTCAGAAAATACAAGGTAAGAATCTTCAGTCAGTTGATATCATCAGATCAGGAGTTCCCTCCAACAATGCAGTTAATGACCCCTAACATGCCTACCCATCCTCTATCCCTCTTGTTCATTTCCTCCCATAAATTTGGCAGAAGGGAGCCACCTAATGTATGGGTGGTCTTCCTTGATTTCTTCTAACACTGAAAGGGCACCAGTGCTGCCCTTCCTTCAATGCTCTTCATATGATCAGCCCATCTTCTCTTGCTATCATACAATTCCTTGATGACGTGCTTTATTCCTATTTTTCATTGGCATCATATTACAGCCTATTCTTTCCAACAGTGTGCACCTCTCCGTAGTCTTCTGTGTGATCAACTCATTTCTAGTTGTTCGGTGACTTTTATTCTATGTTTTGCTGCTATATAGACATGAAAACTAATTACTAAACTAAAAAAAAAAAAGGACTAATTCCTTAAGGTCAAGGCCAAAGAGAATCAAAACAAGCATTTGCTTTTGTGCATCTTTTCTTAAATGAAAGAAATATTGCATTTTTCTCTCTTCTCTAACTCTTAGAAAATCATATGTTTAGATCTATGGTGTAAAAATCTTTAAATGTCATTGATCTTAATCACAGAGGGAAAGTTGCCACAGCATCCCCATTGTTTTGTCTGCTGTTAACAATAATAGACACATACTGACTGATGATAATATGCTATATATAAATAATTAAATACCCCAAAGCATTGAGAAAGGGGTGACCAGACACCATATGAGGATTAGCTAAAAGAACAAAGGCTGTTTAGCCTAGAGAAGAGAAGACCTATGGGGGACATTTGATAAAGTGTCTCATGCAGTTAGGTGGCTCAGTGGATAGAGTGCTAGGCCTGGATTCAGAAAGACCTGAGTTCCAATCTAGCCTCAGGCATGCATTAGCTGTGTGACCCTAAGTAAGTCACTCAACCTCTGTTTGCCTTAATCCACTGCAGAAGGAAACCACAAGTCACTCCATTACCTTTGCCAAGTAAACCCCACACAGGGTCACAAAGAGTCAGACACAACTCAACAACAACAACTAATGCTGCTATTTTGGAGAAGACAGAGAGATGTGGACTAGCCAATAATGGATGGATTCAGAGCGGGTTATGGCAAGTCTCAAAGAATGATCACCAAGGATTAAATATCAGTGTGGCAAGAGATCTCTAGTGGAATGCCTCAGGAATCCGTACTTGACCCTGTGTTACTTAACTATGTCTTTATCAATAATTTGATAAAGACAAAAATAGCACACCCATCAAATTTGCAGACAATGCAAACCTGAATGGGATAGCTTGTTAGCTGAATGACAATCATGATACAAAAAGTCTAAACCATTAGGTTGAATCTAATAAGATGACATTCAATAAGAATAAGTATAAAGTCCTACACTTGTGTTCAAAAAATTAACCCCACAAGTACAGAATGTGGGAGACCTGGTTATAGAGCTATTATCTGAAAAAGATATAGGGCTTTTAGTAGACTGCAACTTAATATGAGTCAGCAGTTTAATGTGACACCCAAACAAAGTTAATTCAGTCTTGGTCTGCATTAGAAGAAGGAGTTGATAATCCCTCTGTACTGTGCCCTAGTCAGACCACATCTGGAATATTGCATTTGGGGTACCACAGTATAAGAAAATCATTGATAAGCTGCAGAGGAAGACAAAGGAAGACCACCAGAAAGTTGAAAGGTCTTGAGTCTACATCATATAAGAATAGGTTGAAGGAACTGGGAATATTTAGATGGGGAAAAGGTGCAGGAGTAACATCACAGTTGTCTTCAGGAATCTGAACAACTGCCATATGAAAGAGGGATTAGATTTGTGCTGCTTTGCCTAGGGGAGCAGAACCAGGAACGGTGGATGGGAGTTGCAAAGATACAAATCTGGGCCTGAAGTCAGAAAAGGTTTCCTAATAGTTAGTGCTGTCCAAATGTAGAATGGGGCACCTCAAATGGTGGTGGATTCCCCATCCATGGAGGTCTTTAAGTAATGGTGGTTGTCTGTCAGGTGTGCTATGGTAAAGTTTCATTTCATGTATAGATGGGAACAGATGCACACTGAGGTATCTTCCAGCTCTCAGACTCTGTGGCACATTCCCCATCTTCAAAGATTTTAAGATCTGTCACGTGGAAGGATTAGATTTGTGGCTTATTACTCATGCCCAGCAGGCAGAAACAGAAGGAACGGGCCAAAGTTACAAAGAGGCAGATTTAGGCTTGGTTTTCCTTATTTATGTTTAGAATGAATTCTCTAAACAGTCAGTAACCCAGGATCTAAGTTTATACTGGGGTTTAATTAGTTTGAGTAGCAGTCTTACATCATTTTCAGGAGACTATGAAGCTGACATTGCTAGACATGGGTTTTTTTTTTCTACTCAAGTGAATGAAGTCATTGCTATTTCCTTCTCTTCTCCTTATATTTTAGGGTCGTCCCTTACAGGAACAGCAAGAAGTGGCTGCTGCTGTCATTCAACGTTGTTACAGAAAATACAAACAGGTAAACAAGCTTTGCTTCATAAAAGAAAACAACACTTCCCTAAAAGCAACACCAGGTTCCTAAGGACTCGTATGTGACTTGACAAGTCAGCACTATTTCCAAGGCTTATAAAAGATATTTCATTTGGATTGTCTTGATAGATAGCAAGGGAGAAATATCTGATAGAAATAAAAATGACCCATCTCTAGACAAACTTTTATGCCTCAAAAAGATTTTAGTCTAAATTTATCACCCTTTTAAAATAAAATCACCTCCTTAACACGTAATCTTGTCACTAAAAAATTGTATAATTTCATTTGAAGCAACAGAGGTACTTATATTTTAATTTTGCTTATAAACTCTCATTGATAAAATAATTCTGTGCAAAGCTACATGAAGCAAATAACTACAATACTATCAAACAATTCTGAGCTCTGATTTATATGTCTTAAAAAAAATAGCATCCTCAGTTTCTCCATTAAATATAGAGGTTAATAATGTCTGCTGCTCTATAACAGCCTCAAAATGAGAACAGACTGATGACAAAAAAAAATCTTAAATTGTCTTCATTCATTTCCTTAGATAAAAGATGCAAGGGGAATATTAAATAATATGGATTTTTAAAATGCAGCTTCCAAATCATGTAGGGTTACAGTCCTTTTATTATGAAGCATCCTTCCAAAGTAAAATGCTTTTTCCAACTCTGACCATATAATGTTTTCCCACAAAAAAAGGCCACCCTACATTAAATGGAATACAAAGTCCAGCTTTAGTTTCTCCAAGTCAATCAATCCATCCTTATTCCAAAGCACTTGAATTTCTATCGTCAGGGACCTTTTGCCTAAGAAATAGCCACAAGAAAATGGAGTACAGTACCAGCTCTAAATTTTCATTTGATGATCTACTGGATTATATTGAGTTTCTCAAATGAATCAAGTGATGGCTAAGATTGAATACTATTCATAATAATACTATACATTGAATACTATACATAATTATATAATACCATAAATAACTAAATACTATATGTAATATGATACATATACTATACATAATAATACCATAAATCATAGCCACTATCATCTTATCCATAAACCTTTGAATCTTCTCTAGTAATTTGTTTTTTACTACCCTTCCTGTAAGATAAACAAAACCTGTCTGACTGGAGACCTTCTTCATATCCCAAAATACAAACACAGTCATCTAAAATGAATGTTCGAACTCAGTCTGAGATAATGTATTCTAGTCAAGAAAAGTCCTTACTATAGCCACCCAACTCTTGTGTCACTGAGATCAGGGAGTTTCCATTGCCAAATACCTGAAGACCTGAGAATAGACAGCCAGGAAATACATCAGCTTTTGTTCACAAAAACTGTGTTCCTTTTCCAGCTTTCTACAACATTCCTAAGAGACGGTATATTTAGCCATACTTAACTCCTTTACCAAACAGAAAAGACACCCTCCCTGGATAATCAATTAGTGTTCTTTAAAATGTTAAGGCATCTATTAGACCAGAAGAAGCCAGTTAACTCTACATCACATGAGCCATAATTTATTTTTAACTTGTCCCTGAGAAATGATACAAGAGCCTGGCTTATCTGAAGTCCATACCAAATTTTTTTAGCTATAAGCTTAATGCTTTTTAATTTTAAATTTGCCTTTTAAACTACTCTGTGACCTTGAAGCAGTTAACACTCAACAAGTATCTGTTGAATTGCATAAACATCAAGCCTTTTATGATTAGCTAGCTAGTTTGAAACACAAAAATATTTCTGAGTTATGATTCCAAGTCCTTGTGAAGTTCAGTACATTTAGTGGACAGAAGATTATTTTATAGGTCTGTGTTTTAAGAAGATTTTTCCTTTATTTCTAGGAAAAGAAAATTCTAAGTTTCATAACAAATCTACATAGAAACTCTTGGTTTTATGCTCTCTTGTTATGAATCATAGCTTCAGTTTCCAACAGGCGCTACTTTAGCCTCATGTCCTAGGGCCAAGGCTTTATTAGAAGGAGAAAAAAAAGAAACTCTCCAGGCAACATCCAGCTGAGTCCATGATCCCAGGGAATGAAGGCTTATTGTGTAAACGCTGACACCACAGTGCCCGTAGTTCAGCAGCACGGAAGCTGCATTCTTTCTTGTGTTGCAGGCGGGCTCCCCAGCATAGAGCAGCTGACACTCACAAACCAAAGCTGGACATCTGGAATTACATCAAAAGCATTTATTTTAAAATATGAGCTTTTTTAGATGCCCTCCCCCTCAAAAAAGAAAAAAAAGATGCTCTGAAAAGTTTATCTGCAACCTTAGACGTTAACATGGCCAGGTTAAACTAATTTTTGTTGGTGGCTTTATTGGTTCTGTTTTTTCCTTTATAATTCACCAATCTAACATTAATCTTGTATTTTCTGTTTCTCCCCCAAGCTGACATGGATAGCCTTGAAGGTAACGAATGAACACAAGTAACGCTTCCAACCATTCCACCAGAGTCAAAAACTTCACACTCATTATCAGCTACAGACAAAGTAGCTCCTTAGATGAATTAAGCCAGCAGTATCCGATACCAGTGAGGACCGTAGAGTGTGGTCATACCACCTCCCGTCAGGGACACCTGACAGCAGGGAACAATCTGAGCGGTCACTGTATTGGAGTGATTTTTGATTTAATTGAGAGGGGTGGAGGGAGGTTTCATGAGCCAGTCTCAGAACACAAAAGACCATTATTATCTACCAGGTGAGCCACTAAGGGCTTACCTCATCAATTCATTAGATAAATACCCTAATGGGCCCTTGTCTTTCTGAACACATAAAATATACAGGGCAAAGTGTGGTATGAATAACACATACTCTAGAATATAAAGTGGTCTTCACTAAAAGAGGCTGGAACAAGGAAAGCATACCACAGGTTATAGCTACAGTTGGAAAAGATCCTCTTGAAATAGTTCTCTAACATTTCTTTAAAAAAAAAAAAGGTTCCTTCTTCCATTTCACCTCATAATTCCAGAAGGAGTCTAACTGCAGGATATAAATTTATTTTCCTTTCAGTGGCAAAGTGTATTCTGGTAGGAAGAGGGCATTATCATGACCTTTCTGCAGAGGCCCTTTTTGGCAGAACAGATATTTGGACGTGGCTTTCTTGAAAGACTGGGAACTCTAGGATGTCCAGAGGTGGACATTCAAGAGAAGAAAACCCCAGTCCTAGGATGTCCTAGCCTTTTCTTTTGAGGACACATAGTAGGCAGGGTGGAAAAAAAAAAAGCCAGTGTTTGGCTCCTATGCTGGATTCCTATGGCCCTATCTTCTGTGATTATCTCTCAGGCTGTCCTGCCTTACTGCTTCACCATCATCTTGCTATTTGAGAATTAATCATTGCAGGTGGAAACAGCTTTATTAAAGGTGTCAGCGTTTCATGATAATCCTTATATTTGGGAACTTGTGACTCAGCCAATAAAGTTCCTTATGGATAAAGAATTCAAAACAAGGTGTTGATTCAAAGCAGATTGTGTGTTTTGTAAGATGGGAGGCACGTGGGAAAGGTTAAATTCTACAAAAGTGATTTATAAATATTCTCATCCAATATCCAGAATTTTTCTAAGTGTCATATTTTTTTTTAAATCATGAGTATTTAAGCTGCTGCTGTGTAAAAATACTTCTGTAAAATTTATTAGTGAATATGTTGGTATTTGTGGAGGGAAAACACATTTAAAGCAGTACTCGGCTACTTGAGCTGGAATTTTTGTTGTATTTTGCATTTTGGAAAGGTAGGTGAAAAGCTCCCTCATAGGCCTTGGTGATGATTAACTGCCAAAAGACTACATGACAGTATGAAAAGAGAGCTTCTCCTTTCACTAAGAGCACATTCCAAGGAAACAAGGCTCCCCTGTCAGTATGGGGAAACTTCTTTCTCCTGTTGTTACTACTTAGCCTGTTCTTGTCTCCTCCGCAGTATGCACTTTATAAAAAGATGACACAGGCTGCCATCCTTATCCAGAGCAAATTCCGAAGCTATTACGAGCAGAAAAAATTCCAGCAGAGCAGACGTGCTGCTGTGCTGATCCAACAATACTACCGGAGCTACAAGGAATGTGGCAAAAGAAAGCAAAGTCGCCGAGCAGCTGCCATTGTACAACAGAAGCTCAGGTGGGTTGGAGAAAGTGTGGAGGTGAAGAGGATGCAGGCCAGGGCCCCGAGCAGGCCTGTGCTAGACTCAAAGCTCCTTGTAGTCTACTTTCAGGTCTGCATGTGAAGTCTCCAAAATTATCTAGTTGGCTCAGTATTGTGATTTCAGAACTGAACTTTGAAAGACAAGAACAAAGTTTGTGCCTGAAAAGACAGGGGTATCAAGTATCGGATTCTAGGGTTTGGGGAAACTTTGGTAAAGTATTCGGTACAGGCAAATTATTGGTTAGACCAACAATAACTTGAGAAGGTGTGGCTATTTTCTATAAGTCAAGTTAACTTTTTAAAGTCAGAAAAAAAAAAACCAAAGGAATTCCAAACTCAAGGAAATTCATTTTTAACCCAAGAAACTATACACCTCAGTGAAGTCCAGTTAAATGACAGCCTAAAACATTTTAAAACAAACTATTTTAAATGCAGTTTTATATCAGCCACTTAAAATGGAAGAAAATGGAATAGTCTATACATTTGAATTGTAGAGAAGAAATTATCTCCTCTGTTACAACAAGGTAATAATAATAATAATAGCTAACATTAATGGAGTGATTACAATGTGTCAGGCACTATGTGAAGCACTGTACAATTAGTGTCTCATTTGATCCTGACAAAAACCCTGAGAAAAAGGTGCTTTTATTATCCCCATTTTACAGATAAGAAAACTGAGGTAAATACAGGTTAAGTGATTCGCCCAGGTTCACAAAGGTGTTAAGTGTCTGAGGCCAGATTTGAACTCTGGTCTTCCTGACTCCAGGCTTGGTACTATCCACTAAGCCACCAAGCTGTAAAGTGCTTAGCACAGTACCTGGCACACAGTAGGCATTTAATAAATGCTTTTTTCCTTCCCCTTCCCTTTTGTCTTTGTAGCCCCACAGTGCCTGAAATAAAGTATGCAATAAATACCACTAAATGGGAGGAATGATTGAGCTCGAGACAAATACGCTTAAGTACAGGAAAATAAAAATGTAACAAAAAGAAAACAGATTTGAGGAAATAGTTACAGCAAATATAATATAAATTTCACATATAAAATACAAGAAATAGTTTTAGATGTATAAAATCCCAAGTGGACAAATGGTCAAAGGGTATAAAAGTTTTCAAAAGAGAAAATACATATAGTTAATATTAATTAAAAAATGCCCAGCTTTATTGACAACCAAAAAGATACAAGTCAAAACAACTTGGAGTTATTATCTCCAATGCATCAAATTGACAAAAAGACTTTAAAGCCATGAAACTTAGCACTATCAGGGCATTCACTCACTGCTCCTAGCAACTGTGCAGTAGAATGTTTCTGGAAAGCAGTCAGGCTTAAAACTTACAAAAATAACCCTATACTATGACCCCAAAATTCCATTATTGATCATATACTATAAGAATGCTATCAAAAAGAAAAAAATAGAGCTATCTGTTCAAAGACTTTTATAGCAGCATTATTTATTATGATTAAAAAAGAAGAAAACTACATACCCAACAATATGGTAACAGTTATATGAGTTGTAGTACATTAATGTATTGGAACACTTTAGTGAAATTCAGTCTGAAAAGCATAAGAAATTTAAAGAAGTCTCTAAGGAACTTGATGGTGCAAATCAAAAGAAGTAGAGCTTGGGGCAGCTAGGTGGCACAGTGGATAGAGCACCAGCCCTGGAGTGAGGAGAACCTGAGTTCAAATCCAACCTCAGACACATAATACTCACTAGCTGTGTGACTCTGGGCAAGTCACTTAACCCCAATTACCTCACCAAAAAAAAAAAAAGTAGAGTCATCAGAGCAGAGTGTGTATAAATGATGAATTCTCCTCCCTACCCCCATTCCACCCCCACCAAACTCTCTAAGTTGAAAAATCAGTGCATAACTACATGCATAGAAAGTGAAGGGATATAGAATCACAACAGAAAGTTACAGGGATTAAATGAGAAGTTACTACATTTTTGAGAAACTTATTTATTTAAATGTAAATAGTTACAAAGCAAGTTTAATTAGTTGCCTTTATGTTTAATATTAATGTTAATAATAAATCATTTTTAAAAGAAGTATGCTTAAATTTTGAAGGAAAACATCAGTCTTTCACCAAAATCAACTTGATAGGAAGTCACCCAAGATTCTTTAAAAATCATCTTCATCTTTAAATTTTCTACAATCTCTCTTAGATTCAAAGTGTTTACATATTAGTTCCTTTTGTCCTTCTTGTAGATTAATTCACACCTTATCATATAACTACATGTCTACTCTTAAGCTCCCTAGATGAAGTATTTAATTTTAAATCTTGCACTAATGCTGCCCTATTTTAAAACAAGCCTTATAACTTGACAGGGTGCTTTCTATGGCAGTAATATGGGCTAATTTTTTTTTTCAGGAGCAGTCTGCTAACCAAGAAGCAGGATCAAGCTGCTCGAAAGATAATGAGGTTTCTGCGCCGTTGTCGCCACAGGTACGTTAGTCCCCATATGGATCTTATCCATCAATAATAACAAAACAGACTTAGTCTTTATCCAACAAGAATTATCAAAGTAAATTACTAAGACAAATGTCTTCCAAAAGACTCTGGAATAACAGAACCATCCAAAGCAGGGAGTAATAAATGAAATGTGGTACTGAAAGGTAGGAAAATAAAAAGAACAGGTAATATATGGCCTTTGGCTGCTTATGTTGGGTACAAGAAGCTTTCTGCTTGAGCCAAACTAACTTAATTCAAAGTTTTCATTTAACCCTTTGTTCTGTACTGCTCGTGTCCTCCATTTGTGCTTTACCTAATTTTACTCTCTGAACTGTGCAGCAAAGTAGAAAACAAGTGGATTTCTCAAGTCTCCAAGGAAATGATTCCATTAGAGATTTCCATTACAGAACAATGATTTCTGTGAAACAGTTGATGTATTGTTGCCCTCTGCTGGATAGAATGTCTGATTTGCTCTTGTTGATTTTCTGATGGGCTTGGGGGAAGTAACATCAAAACCAAACAGGGAGGTAAGAAACACAGTTTAGATTATTTGGATGTTCTTAACCACCGGGAGGAAAACTGTTATAT